CTACCTCCGGAGTCATTTGAACAGATCTGATAGATGAGAATTAGTGTCCATGAACGGTAAGACTTCCAGAAATATGGAGCAATAATTGCAGAAGCATCAGAACTGACCTTATTTAATCAGATTCTTAGGGGCTTGGAAGGCAAATGCTGAGCAACTTCTTCCTTTTCTCGGCGAATATAAAAGCAAAGTGCATGTTCTCAGATTAAGAGGTAACCCAGTCAAGCAAACATGAAGGCAAATTGCTTGTTTTGGGCAACAGCTAATCTCAGTAACTTTGTTTTAACCATAAACGGACGTGGATTTTGGGCCTTTAAGTGTATGCAAGGAAGTGATGAGCAGTTTTATGATGATGATGATGATGATTATTTTTCTTTTTCATTATTATGATGATGATGATTATTATTACTATTCTATTATTCAGTAAAAGAATGAAGCTTCACGGGAAAAGGCAGGAATGTGGAGTTGACAATTACCAGATCAGGAGTGGTTCCATGGAACATTTGGCTATCCTTAGCTGGCCGAATGACCTACTTCTACAAAGATGCCTGATGAGTTTATAGACAATTCAAGATTTTTTTTGATTTTTAAATCACACAGTAAAAATGGTTAACGATGGCAATCCATATCATCTTGACTTTCTTTTCAGTAGTATTTTGTCGCGTGATGCATAAGTAGGTATGTCATTATAGCTTTCAGACAAAGTTGTGGTTAATACGAAAAGATGTTCTCTCGAGAAAATCACAGGCTGTACTTAATTCAGCAAAGGTCAGAGCATGGTTAGTGTAATTAAATTATCCGTTAACGTTGTCTAATATGGAAGACACGAAAGTGTTTTTTTTTTCATTATATATGATCCTGCTTCATTTGAAGGCAATTATAATACTCCCAAACAAAAAAACACTGCAGACATGATCCTAAAGTATGGCACAGGTACAAATGAAATGGAACACGTTTCGGCAGTTGTTTATAATCCAACATCATTCATACATTGACTTCGTTAAAAAATAACATTCAGCTAATTAATTAAGTCTAATTTTCAAAATGTCTTTAATTCTTTCCGCCAGCCTGCCACAATTTAGTCTCCAAGTATTTCTTTTAAAACTTAATTTTCGCGAGCATCTTTGACCTTTCCATGTGATGAAGGGGCAAAGATTTCAACGCATCTTTTGTTTATTTAGCATCTCACTCTGTTGTAAGTAAATATCCTGGTTGGGAGTGCTCTTAGATTAGTCACTAAAAAAAAAATCGTTAGGAGGGAAAATAGTTTCTGCCCATCATAAGGACGTGCTGAAAGTCATTAACCTCGTTTCATGAACACATGTAAGAGATAGTTATTTTTAAAATAAATTCTTTTAGATATATAACAATGAAAAACTGGGTGGAAAATAACATTATTTATACCATGTGAATTGACTATGGAAAGAAGGAATTTATCTGAGAAGGTTTTTGAGTAAACTATTAATTTTAATCTCAATTAAACTTCCAACGTTTTATCTTGAAATTGCGGAGAAGCTTCCTATTTTATTATAACTCAGAACAAGCATTTATTGACTTGATATGGTGCCATTAACAGACAAACCTTAATAATGTATTACAAAATGAACTGCAGGTGCTGGAAATCAGAAACAAAAAACAGGCATATCTGGCTGCATCTGTGGCGAGAAAGCAGTGTGAACGTTTCGGTTCAATGAACCTTCCTCGGAACTGCTGCATTCATGTTAAGTGTGCATCCAAGACAAGTGCATCTGCTAACCAGACATCACTACCTGTTTTCTGAAATGTAGAAACAGTTTTATTGATAATGCATTGACTGAGCAAGGTTAGGGTCCAGGCAAATGCATTGGTGACAGGGGTGAAATTTGCTCCCCCTTTCTGCCCCCAGTTTGGCGTGTGAAACTTATTACTAAACGATTATTCCAGAGACAGATTGACAATTGTGAGGATCCAAGTGGATTATAAATGCATAAAGCAAACCTGAAATTAAGAGTCCAATAATGATTATAAAACCATTGTCAATTGTTGGGAAAACGCATCTGGTTCAATAATTTCCTTTAAGGAAGGATATTTGTCATCATCTCCCAGATCATCCATAACCTCATCACCTCAGGTGAACTCCCACTCACAGCCTCCAATCTCATCATTCCCCAACCTGCACTGTCCATTTCTATCTCCTTCCGAAAATCCATAAACTCGACTGCCCTGGCCGACCGATTGTCTCTGCCTGCTCCTGCCCCGCCAAACCTATCTCAATATATCTCGACACTATGTTCTCCACCCTGGTCCAGGAACTCCCCACCTATGTCCGGGACACTACCCATGCACTCCACCTCCTCCTAAACTTCCGATTTCCTGGCCTCCAATACCTCATCTTCACTATGGACGTCCAATCCCTGTATATTTGCATTCCCCATGCAGATGGCCTAAAAGCCATCTGCTTCTTTCTCTCCTGCAGGTCCAACCAGTCCCCCGCCACCAACATTTTCTGAAGAAAGGTCTAGGCCGGAAACGTCAGCCTTCCTGCTCCTCTGATGCTGCTTGGCCTGCTATGTTCATCCAGCTCTACACTTTGTTACCCCTCCACCAACACCCTTATCTGCCTAACTGAACTCGTCCTTACCCTTAACAACATCTCCTCCAACTCTTCCCACTTCCTACAGGTGGAGGGGGTGGCCATGGGTAACTGCATGGGCCCAAGCTATGCCTGCCTCTTTGTAGGATACGTGGAACAGTCCCGCTTCCGCAGATACACTGGCACTATCCCCCACCTCTTCCTCTGCTACATTGATGACTGAATTGGTGCCGCCTCAAGCTCCTGCGAGGAGCTCGAACAGTTCATCAACTTTACTAACATATTCCAAACCAAACCTCAAGTTCACCTGGACCATCACTGATAGCTCTCTCTCCTTCCTGTACCTCTCTGTATCCACCTCGAAACTGATATCTATTTCAAGCCCACCGACTCCCACAGCTACCGAGACTACACCTCCTCTCTCCCATCTTCCAGCAAGAATGCGATCCCTTATTCCCATTTCCTCTGCCTCTGCCACATCTGCTCCTAAGATGAGGCGTTCCACTCCCAGACATCCTAGATGTCCTCATATTTCAAGGACCACAATTTCCCCGCCCTGCCCTTAGTGGTCAAAATACCCTCGACCGCATCTCTTGCGTTTCCTGCACCTCAGCCCTCACACCCCCTCCCGGCAATAAAAACAAGGACAGAATTCCCCTTGTCCTCACGTATCACCCCATTAACCTCCGGATTCAATGCATCATTCTCCGTCACTTCCGCCATCTTCAATCTGACCCCACTACTAAGGATATATTTCCCCACCCACCCTTATCTGCCTTCTGGAGGAACCGCTCTCTCCGCAACTTCCTCGTCCGCTCCACACTCCCTACTAGCCCCACCACCCCCGGCAATTTACCCTGCAACTGCAGGAGGTGCTACACCTGCCCCTACACCTCCCCCCTCACCTCTATCCCAGGCCACAAAGAAAACCTTCCACATTAAACAGATGTTCACCTGAACATCCACCAATGTGATCTATTGTATCCACTGTTCCCGATGTGGCCTCCTCTACATCAGCGAGACCAAACAGAGGCTTGGAGACCGCTTTGTGGAGCACCTACATTCAGTTCGTGACAAACAACAACACCTCCCAGTCGCGAATCACTTCAACTCCCCCTCCCACTCCCTGGACGCATGTCCATCCTGGGCCTCTTCCAGTGTCACAACGATGCAACCCGGAAACTGGAGGAACAGCATCTCATATTCCGCCTTGGGAGCGTACAACCCAATGGCTTCAATGTGGACTTTACTAGCTTAAAAATTTCCCCACCCCGACCTTATCCCAAGACCAGCCTCCCCTCTCATCCCCGCCTCCTTGACTTGTCCGTCTTCCCTCCCACTTATCCACTTGTCCCACCTCACTGGCCAATCGCCATCCCTACTTACTACCTACACTCACCATTACTAGCTTCATCCCTGCCTCCTTGACCAGTCTGTCTTCTCTCCCACCTACCCGCTCCACTATCTACCTGCTAGCACCACGCCCCCCTCTCTATTTATTTTAGACCACCCCTTCCCCTCCCCCATTTCTGAAGAAGGGTCCCGACCCGAAATGTTAGCTTTTCTGCGCCTCTGATGCTGCCTGGTCTGCTGTGTTGCTCCAGCTCCACACTGTATTATCTTTCTTTGTCATCCTTGCCGAGCCTGCTGTAAATGTGTATCCAGATTCACGGCAATGTGTTTGACTTTTAACTGCCCTCTGGGCAATTGGGGTGGGACAATAAAAATTGCTGCAGTCAGTGATACCCACAAACCGTGTTAGAATGAAAAAAAAATCAGAATTAAATAAAACAATCACAGTTGTGATAGTTGCAAATCGATGGTCTATTGTTGTTCGAGCCAGTATTCAACTATTTAATCAAAATCCTACAAGAAAGGAAATATTCAATCCTTACTTGTGACTGAAAACCCACATCAATAGGGATCAATGAGTAAAAAAAAAATCATGGCTGCCCTCTGAATGGAGCTCGCTGGCCACTAAAGACTTTCAAGTCTGGTTAGGCGATTCCAACAAATTTTCACATTGTCAGTCACGACTCACGTCTCATGAATGACTAAAGGCAAACAAGAATACATGTCACTCAGTAATTCAAGCTGCATTGAGAGAATAGATGATTTGTAGAAAACAAAAACAGCAACAGTTCCTTGCCACTTAAGAGTACTGGTTTATTATGCTTTTCTGGAACCCTGTACCAGCACATATTGTCCTGCTCACTGATAGAGCTATCAGATAACCACACAAAGCAGAGAAACACATCAGTTTTACTTTTGTGTCTTAAATAAAAAAATTGGAAGTAGATGAAAATGTTCAATGAACACGCTCCTCAAAGATTGAATTTGGATAGATTAATCATTTATTTTATTGGAGCACGTTATCATTCTGATTATCATTGTGTATATTATTGTTTCAAATTCTTGACAAGCAGTTGGCTCATGAAAGTAACCCGTTCCAACGTCTCGAATAACGTGCTTTGATTAACTTGATTGGCAGGGCAAAGGGATATTTGATCATTTCCTTCAATTCACTCCTAAACTTTGTCTGTGCAACTCCGTAAATAACTGTATTGGTGCAGGAACTTAAAAGTTGAAGCATATATCCAACTTGCTCCGCCACGGTGAAGCTGTCGCTGTAATCTGTATTGTAAAATTCATTCTGAGTGGTTTGGACAAATATCTGACAGACAGAGATTAGCATCCAAAGAAAAATAAAGTTTCCAGAAATAGCGATAAGTAATATAATGGACTTTCTGCGGTTTTCCACCTCTGGATCATTTGAACTTGATCTAAAATCCCTCCTAGCTTTACTGGTCACCAAAATGTGTCTAATGGTCAAACTATTGAAGAGCAAAATTAAGAAAAATGCAGCAAAAGGAGTCAAAATAGTTTCCAACCACAAATATGCTATCCAAGAGGGCAAAGTATAAAATGTAGCTTTTAAGACACAGAACCATGGTGTGCTGTCAATAATCTGTCCAGGTTCATTCATAACATAAGTTGGAAAGTTTTGTAAAGCTGAAAGCCCACATATCACTGCTATAACCACAACTGAAGTGTGTGCTGTGCAATATTTGGTTCTCAGCTTCTGGCAACATATGGAAATGAAGCGATCAACGCTAAAAGCGACTGTTAACCAGACAGAACAATCAGTGGAAATGAAACTGAAAGTTATCTTAAGGCTACACGTTTGAGAGTAGTCCAGAAATGACTTTGGGAAATATATTTCCTTGATTTTGTATAGAAGTACGTCAAATATTAAGACCATTAAGTCTGCTACTGCCATGGCCACCATGTAATAAGTGATACATTTGGAAAGGCTGCATTTTCCATTGGACAATATCACAATTGTCAGTATATTAGCTGTAAAAGAAGATAGAAAAACGTAAGAAAATAGTGAGTCAAGCTTTTCTCGTTCAGTGGCAGATGGTATGCTTGTCTTTCTCAACAGAGATCATTATGGCCATTGTATGACTCAACAGCAGATTGATTTACAATTACAGTAATATCATCGAGTTTGACACGTTCCACAAATCGTATAGCCGAATGTCAAAGTATGTACCGCTTTAAATGCAATCCATTAATAATAGGACCAATGCATGCATTTGGCAAACTTAGAGGAATGGGAAAATATGTGCGAAAATTGTTAGAAAAGTTTTGATGTTCTATATATTGCATGCAAATTTCCCAAAAACGTTTTGCAAGTAATAGAAATTTAGGATTTCAAGAGATTTGAAACATCAAAAATGAGGTAGCAAAAGAAGCCCAAATGAAATAGCTATTGAATGAATTAAAAAAGATAAAAATTTCCTTGTAAGTTCAAGATAATGGTGGAAGAGCTCACTGTGTTGAGAGAATCCATCTGCACCCGCTGCGTGTATAACAAATCATTGGTATTCCATTCAGAATGCAACGTATTCTTTAGTATGTAAAGAAAGTTCCTCACAATAATTGCTCATTCAGACCAAATAATCTAATCTTAAGTCAGAAGCATGCTCATTTCAGATGTACTTAACTCAGCTAATATGAGTCGTTGGAAACGTATCAATAGCAATCCAACCCATTTGACAATCATCTTTTTCAGTGTAAGCAGCTTATAGTTTTCCAAGAAAAAAAAGTTCTGTTTTTTTAAAATATTATCTCAGGAGACATTATAAAATGTCAGTCATTCTGAATTGACTTGTCTTCTGAATTTTCACTCTGCAAATAAATTATCCAAACATGTGGAGAAATGCAATGCATGGAAGACGATCATATAGCTTATATTTTTATCCAAGAGATCAAGAAACTAATTAACCTAATCCCACTTTCGAGTTCTAAGTTGGCTACCTTTTTGATTTCACAATATGCATTTTCAATGTTTTGTTTAATTTTCATGTTTTTTTTTCTCTCTTCTATCATACTTCTAGTTCGGTGAGTTCAAAATATCATCATTCTAAGCCAGCTACCATAATTCATCCCTAGTACTTCTGCCTCTTATACTAAATTTATGTCCCGTGGTTAATTATCCCTCTGTAAGATGCAATACGAACGTCACGTACAAATGCCTTTTATAGCTGTGAATATTTCAATTAAATCTTGTTTCCTCCTATTCTGTCTCAAAAAGAATGGCCATAGCTGATTTGATGTTTCAGTATTGAAATTCCACCAGTCCTAGCAACAAAATAAATTTCCTGATTGTCTTCTCTAGTGATCTTAGGTATTTCCTATTGTTTGAATAACAGATCTGCATATAATACTCCAGGTGGGGTGTATATTAAAAGTTTTCCATTGATCCATGGTAATCTACCAACGCTTCTATTCTATACATTGGCTAATGAAATCAAACAAGAGTTTATCTTTTAGACTTCTCCAGCTACCTTTCTGTACTTGTGGGCATGCACGTCATGTCCATAACCCATTTATGCTTTTCAGTAGCCAACTTGTATCATGCATGTTCTTGCATTCTTAGGCTCCCCCATATTGAAATACATCAAATTTTATTGTTAGTATTTGTCAATATCCAACAAATTTCATGAGTCTATTAACATCTCCTTGCATCATTTAACTTTGTTCTTCGCTGTTCGTAACATGATTACTTTCTGCACAACTAACAAATCTTTAAATTTCCTTAAATAAAATTCCAAGTTATTATCAATGCATGAAATAAAACATGGGAGATTTTATTGATGTTAGTAGTATTCCACTATAAAGAAGTTTCCAGTAACATAATATTGTCTGGCAATTATCCTTTGTCTCCATCATCTCCGTCACGTAATGTTTCAACAGATTTGTACTTCTGTCAAAAATCTGCGTTGTAGGATTTAGCAAGATCCTTGCTAAAATCCGTCCGGTCTACAACAAATGAATCTATCTCCGTGAGGCTTCTTGTTATCTCCTCAAGCATTGTAGCAATATTAGACAATGCCTTTATTTGAGAGACCTGAGATAACTGCATTTGATGGGATCCTCACTTGCTAAACGAAGTTTGGTTCGGCATAGCACACCCTTTACAATACTTGCCATCACTAAGATTGTCCAGTAATTAATTGGATTATAATTGCATCACTTTCAAATTATTTTACAATGTCATCTCCTCTCCGGCCATCTAGAACCCTTTCACCATAAAGAATTGCATAGAGAGAAGATACCACAGCCTCTTAAATGTTTTGCTCACTTCCCTTAAAGACGTGACGCCATTAAATAATTGTTTGGTAGTACAGAAACATTTCACATAGTAAACAAACATTTGTAAAAGCAGATTGGATGTTGAAAATATTTGTCTTTCAGTCTTCAGAACGAGGATGTAAGGAACAGATTTGGAAAAAAATACACTGTTTTAAGCGGAAATAGGGTGCTGACTGTTTGGGAAATCTTCCAACTAGAAACACGACAAGAAAAACTAAACCATATGTTTAACTCTCAGACGAGGAAAGTAGATTTTGATTGGGCAGGGCGTGGCACTGGTGATACAGCAAATTTTCGTGGTCATCAGGATCAATTCGATACAATGCAAGCATGTACTTACTGGCCATGTGGAACAGGTTATTGCTTATTTACGCGTTGATCCCAGGTGATGAACTAAATTGAAACATCTGCTGTGGCTGTGGTTGAAGTGGCTTGTCGCCTGTTTCCAGCAGTCACTCAGAATCTACTTGCGTTGGCTGAGCATTAAGATCGATGACTAAATGCTCCTGCTACATGTTCATGTTAATACTGCTCTAACAAAAACGTACCCCCTTCTCATATTGCATAAAACGTTTCCAGAAGTCTGTTTCTTGCATCCTCGGTCTGAAAATTTCAACATGGAAAGATTCAACATCTGTTCTCATATTACCAACGGCACCTGATCATTTCATTTCATTACTGGGGATTATCCATCTTCAAAGATGTGAAAGCCTGTCATACCATCTCTCTAACTATGTTAAGTTAAACAAGCGTTTCACACACCTTTTCCCTGATTACCCTGCATGAATCTTCCATTAATTTCATTCTATCATATATAGTCACCCCCAGATTTAACATGTTTTCTTTTTCTTCTGCACACACGTTAAGAAATTACTCTTCAAATTTTACTGCTGTGTAACTTGTGCCCATTTAGGAGATCTCAGTAATTGTTCTTTATTGGTCCTTCTTTAACCTTTCCAATTTGATTTGGTCTATGGTGGTTATGCATATCTATGTGCAATAGAAAGCTTTGTTTGCGAGCAGTGCAGAAATATCATATGAAGCAAGGACATTCAGAGTGTTGGTTGCTTAGCCAGAGTGAGGCACACAGATCACACTGCACAGGAGATGCTCAAAGCAAGATGAACATTAATAAGATCAATATTATTTGAAGGTAGCGAGTCCAGTCTTCAGTCTAATACTGGAAGGGAAGAAACCATTCTTGAATCTTTTGGTATGTGTATTTAAGTGTCTGTATCATTCACCTGATGAAATGTGTTGCAAGAGAGCATTATCCAGGTCGGAAGGGTCTTTGATGAGCTGGCAGATCTTCTGCAGCAACGAGAAGTGTAAATGGAGACCATGGATGTAAGGTTCGCTTTTGTGATGATCTGGGCTATGCACACAACTTTCTGTAGTTTCTTATGGTCCTGGGCACAGCAAATGCCATACCAGGCCGTTATGCATCCGGATAGTAGGCTCTCCATGTTTTCTTCTAAATTGTTTGAAATCTAGGCATTTCCAGAATTATTTGACAATCATTTTCTTTCTTTCTTTCATGAAACATTCGTACTCTGAAGCTTCACTGTGTACTGAGTGAATCCATCCCACTAATCTTGCAGTGACTTACACTCAGGGACCACGCTCTGGTCCAATAAAACTAATGCAAAATTGTTGTTGACATTGCTTTGGTAACCTTAGTCTCGCGCTTTAGAATTATATAACGCACCTCCTAGCCTGTCAACCGTACATTCCACCTTAATACTCTCCTTTAAATCTACATGCTTGATCAAGGTTTAACAATTAGATTGATATCCCCTTACTTTGCTCTCTTGCAAAACTTATATTTCAATGCCCTTCAGTATCTGATGGCCTTCTGAACCTTCTCATTCCTCTGACCATCTAACAAAGGGCTTTACAAAAAACACCAACGCTCCCTGTAAATTGTACAAAAAATGCATTTAGCAGATTCTAGAAGACCCTGCATGTGTTCATGGTATCATGCAGACTTTACACTGAGCAAAAGAAAAAGTCCGTTGGTATTAATCAATTTAAAAAAGTGAAAGGCATTTAACTTTGTTTTCTTTGTTCGTCAATGTAATTAACAACATTAGGATGGACAAGGCTATAGCACATTTATTCCATTTTTTTCTCTTGTGCCTGCAAATAAACTTCCTCATACAAAAAATAACCTGAGAAAAGGGAATTGAAAGTCGGTTTCCACGACTTGAGATATTGCAATAAAACTTAGCAATCGACGTCATTTACAGTAAAGACTCGCGAGAATTTATGCCAAACGTATAGAAAGTGACGAAAATGCTGAATTAACAGTGCCCTTGTATTATCATGTTTCTTTTTCACAGCATCACCTGCAGAGCATCATTTTATAAACAACTGAGTTTTACTGATTTGAGATGCATAGCTTCAGGTGTCACTGTACGCAATGAAATTTCAGAAAGATATGACAAACATATAACGCAAAATTAATTTTTAAAAAATTAAAAGCTTTTCTGTATTATGTTGAAGGTCCAAACATCTACAGATTTTTACGATAGGGGCTTTCAACGATTTACAATCCTTTTATAGAAAAATGTTCAACTGAATTCTGTTCTAAATTGATCAAATTATGTTAGAAATTAGAATCCCCCAGCTGCCTATTTTCCAGAAGTCCTCTCAGCATCCTTTCAGCCTCACTACGTGAAACATATTTACAACTAAATCCTCAATGAATAAAGTCACACTGTTTCAACTTGAACAATGATAGAATTGGATTAAGTGCAAATATTTTGCCACACTTTGAAAGATGTACACATAACAAACGTTCAGATGGGGCACAAGCATATTATAGGCATGCTCACTAACTATAGTATTAAGGCTTTATGGAAGTTAAATGCTTCTTTTCATTGGAATTAAATCCACATGACAATGTTATTTTAGCATTACATTAGCTTAATCAGTGTATTGTTTTAACCATTTATCCCAGATTAACAATTTCCAGTTCACAAGTTATTTTATGATGACGTCCGCTTTTGTGTAGTATTAACTGCAGTGGCAAGTTTGTGGTGTGTCTCAGATACACTGAAATTTGAAGATATCTTCTGTCTAGTATAGGTACATCTTTCATTAATGTTACATGCAGTTATTACCATCCAAAGGAGGGATTGCATATATTTAAAGACAACTCTATATTTTACAAAAATCGTGATATCCACTACCACAAAAACAATGTCAATACAAATACTGTCAGTTTCCCTGAATCTCCCATTCAGAACCTATTTGGGACCCAGAATGCTATAATTCATCCTCGAATGGTCATTTTCACGTAATTTGCCTTGTAACAGTAAATAGAAAGTTGAGATTCGAAAAGATGCATCACCCACTCGTTATGGCAAGTGAGAAACAGGTAACTAAAAATCAACTCTGGATAGTTAATAAAGGTAGGTATTACAGTTACCATTCTGCAAAAGAGAAATTATTTTAGAACAATGAAGAACATAACCAGCAATATAATACCGTAGTTTTTGTTTTAAACAATTGGTTAAATGGATCACAATGAATTACCAGGGACACCGAACACAGCCAGGAGAGGGTAGTAGACGCTTAAAATCAGTGGAAGTGTTGTTAGATCCATTTTTTAAGTGGTGTGATAATGATGGTGTTCAGACTAATAGCTCCAATCCAAAATTGGATGAAACTGATCGAATCTAACTCTTTAGTATCATATCTAAGAGGTCCCAAGTGAGGTGTTGAGGTTATGTAATAACTGTCATTAGTTCCAGTCCGTTAAAGTTCTTAACTCTAACGAACCTGCATCGTAGAATTTACACATTTTCAAAGCAGAAGCGGGGTGTTAACTCCAAATAGTCCAACTCAGGATTTGGCTTCTTTTGGGAAAAGAAGTTTGAAACACATTTGTTCATTTTATTCCCAAAAAATGTCAATTATTTTATTGATTACTCATTTATTTTTATGTTTAATTTTGCTGAAGCTTGCCAAAACCTATTCAGCAAGATGGTTCTACAATGTATTCTACAGTGAAGATTCCTCTTCTACACTTATTTTGGAATTTCTTACATTTGATGTCCTTTTTTACGATGCATTTTTTTTATACTGTTCACAAAACTATAAACTGCTGCAGTCTACCACGCTCTGTTCTTTCACGAATCATTTTTGTTTTAAATAAAATTGTAACAAGGTTGCGTGTGCATTGATCTTTCAATCTGACAGTGTATATAAAGACGAGTTAGCAAAGCATATGTGTTACTGTGTTTTACAAGCAGAATTGAACGGTATTGAATTCAAAACTGCGACGATTTCGCTCTATGAACCTCTGGATAGACCTGATCAACTGATTCCCATCCAGTTACTGCCATTTCACTTTAGATGGAATGCCAGCGCACACCTGAAGCAGCAGAAACAATTTGCCATAGCAGAATAGTTCCATGGAAGGACTACTTGTTTAGAAGTTTATCTCAGAAATGTTCAAGTCGCCAAATGGAGGGTAATTTATTTCAATTAGTTACTTCTCCTGCTACGATTAGTAAAACATTTATTTTAAACACTCGATGCATGTATCATACAATGGCTAATGACAGTGCAACTGCATGCTCTTCATTGGGCCTTGATACATAGCCAACAGTTACACATGACCCATAATCTGTTCTCTCTGCAAAATTTTGACATCGTAGCTGTTAGCTATGGGCCGGTGCCCATTGTGAAATCTGCATCAAGAGTCATATTTCAGCTAGTGGTGTTACTGTTATTTAATGGAGTGCTTAATCGTCCATCTGATCTCTGCCGACTACATCTCACGGCGGCACAGTGGCTTAGTGGGTGGCACTGCTGCCTCCCAGCACCAGAAACGTGGGTTCGAATCCACTTTCGGGTGACTGTCTGTGTGGAGTTTGCACGTTCTCCCCATGTCTGCGTGGATTTCCTTCGCGTGCTCTGGTTTCCTCCACAGTCCAAAGATGTGCAGGCTAGGTGGATTGGCCATGCTAAATTGTCCATAGTGTTCAGGGATGTGTAGATTTGGGGATATGGGTGGGATGCTCTGAGGGTCGGTGTGGACTTGTTGGACTAAATGGCCTGTTTCCACACTATAGCGATTCTACTCCACTCTGTAACTTGAGACAGTAGCCAGTTTAAATTATGAAATCATTCATGAGGCTACACCTGTCATTGCATATATATGTCGCATGCAACAACCCGCTGCTCTCACGTTTTGAGTTCTGTTTGTACAACTGCGAGTGAGATTCCATCCTCCAAATCCCCTCCCATGGGCAAATGTAGCGAGTAGCAACAGATCCCCTACCACACATGTCAAGAGACAATACAGATAGCAGAGCTTTCGCTATGCTGTCAATTTTGTGTATTAAAAACATTTTTTGTTGTTGATTTAATATCTGATCCACCATAACATATTCGTTTGTATCCATAACGCGCCCTTTTTGAGAGTTTCATTTTTGTCCCTATTTAGAAGCAATGGGATGTCATCAAAGCAATGGGTTCTTTTGTATTGTCGGAAGAGAGAGAGAATGTCTCCAGATCCCAGTTTAGTAAACTAGGGCAAAGAATTGGAGTATGCAGATACACATGCAGCAAGCTACAACACGTATAAGTCATAGAAAAAAGTCTCTAAGATTTCTTTATGGCTTTAGGTGTCTAATATTGTTTGATATTTCTTGATCGCGGGAGGAGAGATGTCAAACTTAACTCTCCCAACTAACTCAACCACTCTTCGTGTACCAAAGCAGAACTTCCTCATTGGGGTCCGTAATTCCAAACCCTCAGGTCATTGGTTCTCATATATATATTTTTATTTACATTGGACATTAACACATATACCTCTCACGGTATTTTATTCCGGATTACCAATTGCACGCGTATTCGCAACAGGTGCTTCTGCTACCACAGACCATTTTATCATCATTCTAGTTCTCACGTGCCTGGACACTTTTCCATGAAGAATTGTAACCTCAATCCCAGTATGAATCAAGGCCATAACTTGTTGTTAATTGCAATTTCTCTCATTATTGCAACAAGGACGTTTGATCTACTTCCCTTTGTTAGTCGCATCTGAAGGGCTTACCCATATTTTCAATAAAACCGAAAATATTTCATTTCCTGCTATCTTTCACTTCTGCTTCGTGCCTTTTCCGGGTGTTCCCTTTATTCCTTTTACCTGCATTACCAGGGTTTTAGCTCACATAATTCGGAGTTCTTCCAGAGTCAAAGAAACACTGGATCTTTCTGAATACTAGTGTGCCGTTAATCGAGTCATAAACGACTCGCCTGCCATCTGACGGAACATCTTTATCAACCTCGCAATTCTGTAAAAGTGTTGTCCCGTACAATGCAAAAATGTTATGGAGGCTGTTGGTCATGGAGTTTTGCTTTATTTGTTATTAAACGTTGATGTAGATTTATATTATCATCAGGGTTTCCTTTCCTACCAATCCATTCGATCTCTAAGTTGGGCGAACAACAAATGTCTCCACCTCATTGATTTAGATCCCAATCAATTGACGGTAATAAAGAGTGCACTTTCAATTGGTATAATTTCCAGCTCTTCAGTTTCACCTGCTTTTAATGCTGGATGGTGGCCACCTTACAGGCTGTCCTAGTCTGCCTTTCCTAAGTCTTCCTGTTCTCTGCTGGGCAGTCCTACCTGCCTCTGCCAGTGCTGCCTTCTGCTGTCACCACAGCAGCAATCAGTTTAGCTATCGCCCTCTTTAAATCTCACGTATCCCAAGAAAAAAATTGCTGGAGCCAGTCGACAGAGTTCATCCTATTTAGTTAACACACTTCGTCTGCATGGTCAATGTCACTTCCTTCAGCAGTCTCTTATGGGTGGTAATAGTCTTATCATCGTAGAGTCACAGAAACTGATCCTTTGGTTCAAATCGTTCATGTCAAACAGGCACCCTAAATTAATCCAGTCTCATTTTGCCGCTTTCTAAATCCTTCTCATTCATATGCCCATCCAGGTGCCTTTTAAATATTGCAATTGTACCACCTTCCAACACTGCCTCTCGCAGTTCACTTCATACGCGCACCACCTTCTGTGTGAAAAGGTTCCCTCTTAGGTCTCTTTTAAATTTCTCGCCTCTCAACTTAAACTCATGCTGTCTAATTTTGGACACCACTTTCCTGGAGAAAAGAATATTCACCCGAAGCAAGGCCTTCGTGATTTAATAAGCTTTTATAAGGACACACCTCAGCCTTCGACACTCCGGGGAAAATAACCCCATCGTATTAAGCCTCTCCCTATAGCTCAAACGCTCCAGTCCCGGCATCATCCTTGTAAATGTTTCTGAGTCCTTTCACGTTTTACAATATGTTCCGTATAGCATGGAGACATAATTGACCTCAGATTTCTAAAAGTGAACTAAAACAATGTCCTGTACAGGCACAACATGACCTCTCATCTCCTAAGCTCAAGGCCTTGGGATTTTCCTCCAAATCCTTAACCAACATATTACCGAATCCCTAATTCGGGCAGGTGATTCACTAACAGCCCGAATCTCTCTTTGGAAGTTGATCCTGGTATATGGAATGTTTCCTCCACAGGGGCATTCGTCTTCTTCCAGAAAACTTTGCTCAGACATTGCTGTTAGCGGCAAATATAATATTAGGTTGAAGTGCCTTAACTGATTAAGACACGTGTACTCAAATATCATACAAATTTATTAGCTTCAATTGATTAATATACATTAAAGTCAATTAACAGATCCATAAAGTGATCAGTTTAAACTATGTAAAAATATTTAAACAACTGAACCTTGTGTCCTTTCATACGTAAGGGACACTTCGCTTGGGGCTGGTTGGTATTTAATTTCCATGGCACTTGTGGTGAATCCAGTTCAATGGTGAAGTCAAACCACCTGTGAGAATTTCCCTATATTAATATTATACTGTATTTCATGTTACATACTGAACTGCTCCTTTTGAGTACTTTTCCCAAGAATTTCCCTGTGCTGATAAATAAAAAGTCCAGGTAACATTGTAAAAAAGACTGTTCTCACATCAAGGCCACCTTCGTGCAAAACCGACTGTTTTCATACACTCTTCGACTCTCCAGCAATTGCTTATTGCTATGTACAATTAATACTTCATGATCTAGTTTCAGACTGTCATTGTTGGTATCATACACTACTAGAGTTAATATTTTATTTCTTTGAATTTATGAAAATGATTTTGCACTGATATGTAAGCACACAATTTTGCAGATTTAGATTTTGTCATACAAGTTAAGTTTATTATGCGACATAAATAAAGATGAAAAAGAATGAATCAACTTATTCGTATTTATAACATGTTTAAACATGTCGAGAGATAAGGTAAATGTACAGAGTCATAGAATTATACAGCATGGAAAGATTCCCTTCGGATAATTTGTCCATGCCAACCTCATATAGTAAATTAATCTAGCCCCATTTGCAAGCATTTGGCCCACATCCCGCGAAATCCTTCCTGTTCGTTTACCCATCCAGATGTCTTTTTAAGTCTTGCAATTGTATCAGCTTCCACCACTTTCTTTTGTGAAAACGATGTCCCTTGTTCCCTTTTATATCTTTCTGTTCACACTTTAAACCTATGCCCTCTAGATTTGGACTCCCCAACCGTGGG